GACCAAATGTGCTACATTATGAACAATTAAAGGGTTAAGTTTGTTCATATCAATTAATAGGGGCTAAATTATCAAAAGTAAAACAATTGAGGGGCCAAAAGCATTGTTTTCCCTAAAAGTATATTCTAATAATTATACATGTGTTATGTATATATTATATGTTTAATTAACAATACGAATGAAGTGGAATTGAAATTAATAAAAAAAAAAAATAATTACTAGGAAGATGAATTTCATTGTTTGGTTGGTGAAAAAAGAATTAATAGGAATACTAATTATATTGTTTTGTTAGATTTGGAATTATATTGTAAGGAATAACGTGTATAAAGACTTATATGTCCCTACAAATTAATAAGAGTAATATAATTAAGAAAGAAAATAAGGATAAAATAGTCAAACCATATCACTTTTTCTTCCCAACTTTCATAAAAAACAAAATTTTTAATCCTACTAAGAATTTTATTTTCCTCAAATTCAAGAAATTCATTTTCTAATGAAAAGTGAGTTCTATGAACCAAAAATTAAAAAACAACATTTCCTCCGCTTTAAGAAAAATATTTTCCTATGGAAACCCAAACATCCCCTTTGGAAGGCACGCAGCTTTAGAAGTAGTCCACTTCAATCCTGAGTGGCACACTAGGATGATAACCACTTTGTTCTACACATTGGACCACTCAACTTAATATTGAGTGGATAGGGTTAGGTAGGGTAGGTAAAGCCAATGCATTGTTGCTCCCAATGCATTACAACAAATATATATATATATATATATATATATATATATATATATATATATATATATATAATTTTTTCTGTTAATTTGTAAAAATAATTATTAAAATACTTTTTATATATATAATTTGATATTATGACATCATATTTAAGAAAAATTTGAGACTAATATGTAAAAAAAATGCTATTTGCACAATTTTTGAATTTTTAAATGGTCTAATTGTACACTTTTTTTGCTCAATTGTTCAATTGCATGTGTAAAGGTTCAATTGTCTATTTGACACTTTTTCTTAATAATAATAACAATCAAGGGAAATGACTTTTTTTTTTTTTCTTTCCTTTAGTATGGTTGAATTGCAATGAGAGTTATGAATTGTAATTCAATGAAGTGAGAGAATTGCAATTCCCTCAAACCATCAATGTTATTTCTCCTTTTATTAAATTACATTGGAATTGCATTTCAATTCATATCAACCAAACACTCCATTAAAAATTGGTCTTATTTTTAGTTTTTTACGTCATTAAATTTACAATTCACTTAATATTATATCTACACTCATGTCCTGTCCAAAAAAAAAAAAAAAAAAAAAATCTACATTCATGTAATACAATCTTACTTTAAAATATATGGTCTCACCTTTAAAATGATTTCGCGAGTGAACTCTATAAGGATGGAAACCCCAGTGGGGATGGAAATCTTTAATCAAAGGATGTTGTTAAAGGACCAAGACAGGGATAGAGTTCATATTGAGACGGATTCACTTCTTGTCGTGTAGAGTCTGAACTCCAATAGAGATGTTTCCACTTTTAACTTACTTGATCAGCGGACAAGGTTGTCCATTTATTAGCTCGAGAATCTCTTTTTTTTGTTTGATGGTGTGGAGTGGACTTTTATCTGTAATACGTTACTCTTTGATTGTTCTTAATTGAAGTCTAGTTTTACTCCAAAAAATGTATATCATTTAGGAGCAGTTGTTATACATGGAGCATAGTCTAAATATCGCTATGTGGACCATGATCGTCGAATAAAACTGTAGTCGAATTAAAATGATACTTTAGTGTTACTATAATAGAACTAGTGTATGTCGAAAATGAAACTAAAAAACATAACACATTATTGTCAAATGAAATTGTAGTATAATTAAAATGATACTTTAGGGCATGTTTGGTTCATGGAAAATATTTTCCTTAAATTTGAGGAAAACTAATATATTGTTCATGGAAAACATTTTCCTCAAAAATGAGGAAAACATTTTCCATGGTCCCCCCTTGATATTTTGTTTTCCATGAAAAACAAGTAGGACAATTATGCCCTTAACATCTTTTCTAAATTACCATTATTATTCGTTGTTATTATGCAGGGGTATAATTGTCTTTATACTCACACTATTCTTTACAATTTCAAATTCAACCAAACAATGGAATCGATATTCCCAGTAATTTATTTTCTACCAACCAAACAATGTAATTAATCTTCTCGGTAATTTCTTTTCCATGGAATTTCAATTCCATTTCCCCTCAAATATCTTTCGCAATCCAAACGGGGCCTTAGTATAATGAAACTAGTGTGCATGAAAAATGAAACTAAAATCAATAGCCATACAATAACATATATTGTCAAATGACTTGAAGTGCAATTAAAATAATACTTTAACATTACTATAATTAAACTAGTGTGTGTGAAAAATAAAACAAAAAATAGAGCTCAAGCAATAATGTATAATTGTATATTATTAAATGAAACTATAGTAAAATTAAAATGATACTTTAGTATTACTATAATTAAACTAGTGTTGAAGAAAAATAAAACTAAAAAACATAACAATATTATCAAATGAAAGTGAAGTGCAATAAAAATAATACATACTTAATGATTCATGATGCTACATAAACCATGGTACACAATAAAATTTGCCATTTTGGAGATGTAAGGATTTGAACAGTGCATATAGCCAAATTTGTGGCCCAGCAGGTTTTCATAGTAAAAAGTGAAACTAATACTTTGCCAAAAATCTCGTGGTTGGTTAACTACATAAACTTTTTTTTTTTTTTGTTTTTTTTTTTTTAGGAAGAGTATAAACTTTTTATCCGATAGATGACATTGACAACTTCCATTCTCATCTCTTAGAACATTTTTAATAGGCATAGATTTTAAAAGATTTTGGAGGTGCAGGTGCATAACTAGTAAAGAGAAGATGAGAAAGAAGGGAAAAAGGAAAAAAAAAAACAAATTTGAAAAACAAAATAATAATAATAATAATAATAATAATAATAATAATAATAATAATAATAATAATAATAATAATAATAATAACAATAAGCTTAAGATGAAAGTGCCCGGTGGGCGCTATGGTTGTGCTTCACACGACTAGGGCGGGACTTTTTTTTTTTTTTTTTTTTTTTTTGGTGGGTCTTACAAATCTGAAAAAAAAAACCAATGCTTTACACAAAATTCTTCACACTCTCTTTCCTTCATATATGCTTAAAAACCTACAAAAACTTTTTAAAATCCACTATTGTGGATGCCTTAAGACTGAGCCATTGTGGTAAGTGCGTCGGAGTAATGTTAATTGACAACTCTTTTTTTTTTTTTTTTTTTGGGTTAATTATGTATATACATGTATATTTTGCAACATTTTAAAATTAACGCTACTACATTTTAAATAAATGATATATAAAAACCAAAATATAATTATCAAAGTAGAAATAATAAATATTTAAAATCATAATTTACAAAAAGTACAAGACTTTCATTTTTTTTTTCCACAATTCTTCTTAGGTTCCCTACTTCTACCTTCTATGAGGCGGTCTCATAGGAGACTCACCATTTATAAAATTGAGTTGTGATTTTATTTATAAATTATTGATTTTATATTAAATTAACTAAATTAGCGGAAAAAAAAAATCTTTGAATAAGGGTCAAATAGGCTACTCAAGTGACTCAATTGCACACCAAACTGTAATTGGATCATCGAATTAAAAAAAAAATACAATTGGATCACTGAACAACACAAACTCATGCAATTCAACCCAAAATGACCTGTTTACCTTGAGACGATGGTAGCTTAGTCTCAGGCTGTCTCCATGGCCAGGGCGACCGCCCAAGACGAAGCCACCCTCGAAATGAAGGAGTTTTTTTTTGTTTTTTTTTTTTTAATATTATTACTGTTGTTATTAAGTCACCTATGTCATTTAGAACGAAATTGAAAAAAAAAATCACTATAGTCCAGGACCATATTAACTCTTTATAAAATTGAGTTGTGATTTTATTTATAAATTAATGATTTTAAAAAAATATAATTATATTTATACTTGTTTAAATTATAATATAATATTAAATTAACTAAATCAGCAAAAAAAATTCTTTACAAAAATGAAGCGATTCCCATTGAATTCGCAGCTGTTTTGAGTTTATCTAATTTCTCCTCCACGGAGTTCAAAGAAACATTAGATTGGTATTGTTATGGACTACACTAATCTTCTTCCCAAATTTCACCGATGTGATCAACTAAGTTATCCATGTGAAAATTACAGTTGTATATCACAAATTGTCTACTCAGTTCATACCTTAGTCTTTATATACACACAAAAGATTTAAACTTCCACAGTCCACACTATCGCCTCCTGTCATGACTTAAAGTCAGGCGTTAAACCATTACGCTAAGCTCTGAAGAAGCGTTAGATTCTTCATATGGAGCCTAGAGGTGTTTTATTCCCAAGGTTGCAACATACTTAGGCGCCCCCTAGGTGCCGAGGGGGCGCCTAGGGTGCTGATTTTTATAATTTTTTTTAAAAAAAAGAAAACTAAAAATTATAAAAAATCATTAATAAAACATGAGGTTCCCATAGTTATTTTTTATAAACTATTTGCGTAATTGGTTGTAAAATTGTTCAAAATATTGTTAAAATCATATAAATACATAAAAAAAAAAACTAAAATTAAGAACAAAACAATCATTTTTTTTTTGAGAAATTGGTAGGCTAACCCAGTCAAAAGTTATGTCTTCCCGAACTTTTCACACCTTACTACTTCAAAAAAAAAAAAAAAAAAACGCCAATTCAGTCGGCTAGACGATCTAGGCGGCCACCCGGTCGCAAAGGAGGCCGATTCCGACCTTCCTCGCCACGATCGGGCAGCGCCTATGCGCAATTTTTGCAACGCTGTTTATTCCTAATTAATTCAATCAGGGGTGCAGGGGTCTAATGGCTATGATCTGGTTTGAGCCAAACTCTGTGAAAACTACAATGGAAAGGAACCAAACTAAAAATCTGCATAAAATTGAAGCCTAAACAACGAAGTTCAAAACTTCAAATTAAACATGTTTTCCATCACAGATGTTTTAATTTTATTGCAGATCGAGAATAGCAGAAGCAGGAAACAGGTACCAAAACACAAAGAAAGAAGTGGGATCCGATCCAGTGTTCTTATTTTGCGGCTGAGAAGACCATCTTGGCGAACTCCGCTAGCTTGTCGGTGGGCGGCATGACGTCTTTGACGGCGCTATCGGCGCAGAAATCGTCGGCCCACTTGGCCAGACCGGGAAACTTGGTGGCGTCCAGGAGCGTTATGCCGGAGAAGAGCTCCGTCACTCTGATCCAGCCTAGTAAGCACCCCAGCGCAATGTCAAGGTACCCAATGGCGTCCCCGCCGAAGAATTTCTTGCCTTTGCTGCTGCTCTGGAACGCGTTTTCCAGCAATCCTAAGCCGGAGAAAACTTCACCCACTGCTGCCTTTTTCGCTTCTTCTTCCTTGGCTCCCGCTATTGCTCGCATATTTGGGAACAACTGCACCAACCACTCAAAAATTCAGATCTTCATAACTCTGTGATTTTGCCTGAAGTCAAGGACTAAATGGATTCAAATCAAAATCCTTTAGACCCCAAACCCAAATTATACACAATTTCATCCGGATTGATTGTAGTGATTTTTCTTGATTTAGTCGGTCTTCTTTACACTGTTGCAAAAATCGACCTAAGATACCCCTTAGAAACCCCTAAGCCAAGAGAATTTTACTATTAGACAGACATTAGACAACTGGCTGATTAGTAGACCGACTAAGCGGCCTAGGCACCTAGGTCTACAAATTTGGCACCTGAGTCAAGTCATTCAAACAAGGCGCCCAAGTCAGTCAAACTAGGTGCCTGAGTCGATCAAACTAAGCATGGGTGTACACTCATGTGTTTTTTTTGAAAACTCATGGGTTTGTACTATTATTACTCGTCAGCCTAGGTAGAGCCTAAGCCCTCTAGGGAGGGCGACTAGTGCTTAAGGCCTTCTACAACATTATTTTTTGTAGTTGATTGTGTCCCAAACTTTGATAATTTTACTTAAATTAGGCAAAATTACCAAGAAGACTTAAATAAATAACAATATTGAAGTTCAGATCTAATTAAACACAGAAAGACGTTTAAGACTAAATTGGAAAAAAATTAAATTAAATTGGGTATTAAGTGCACAAATTCTTATGAAAAGCTAAAATCCGGTAAAATCAGTTGGAGTATAGGATCCTTCTTGGGACTAATAAACATACCTTGTCATCAATGTAAGTTGCCCAGAAGCGGGCGGTGGCGCGATCATATGGATCGGCGGGCAAGATGGCGGGGCCGGAAGTCCAGACTTCATCGATGTACTGAACGGTGATGAGGGATTCACAGATGGGCTTTCCGTTGTGGACGAGAACAGGGATCTTCTTGTAAACCGGGTTCATTTTGAGGAGGAGCTCGCTCTTGGCTCCGAACTTCTCCTCGAGAAACTCGTAGGCGACGGATTTGATGTTGAGAGCAATTCGGGTTCGGAGCACGAACGGGCTGGGCCATCCACCCAACAGCTTCACATCCTCTGACGCCATTGTTGCAGATCGATCGAGAATTCCAAGCTTTTTCCTGTAATTAATTTTCTGGGGAGAGTAGATGAGTGCCGTCGTGAGTGTGTGTGTTTATAGGTGTGAAGTGTGAACGCGCTGACTACGGATTTTCCATAGATGCATTAATTTCTGTTTTGGACAATTTATTATTACTTTTTCCAAATTTGAGTTAATCAAATTAAAATCATAACATCAAACAATTTAGTTATTATACAAAAATGTCATTTAAAATTAATATTTAGAAACCTTAAATAAATAATTACACTTCCCTGATAATAATTAGATAGGACTTTTATATGCATATTTGGTAATTGTTATTATAATTAATTATTAATATTAATTATTAATATAATTATCTCAGATAATTTATGATAATTATTTGGTCCCGTATAGTACTAAAATATTATCTATGATTTCAATAATTAAGGTATAATATTATTAAACTAAATAATTAAATATAATTTATAGATTTGAAGACTTTAAATTACCTCTATATAAAATATATTATATATATATATATATATATATATATATATATATTAACTAAGGTATAATATTATGACATTTTAAAAACAATATTTTACCAAAATTAATGTACTAACTGGTTGATTTTTTCTTTTGGCCTTTGTTGCAGGCAAATTGAAGCCAATGATGACCTATATTGAAATTGTAAATGATTTACAAAATATACTAGGAGTAGAGATTAACAATGTTTTGGTACTATAAGGTCATTCCCAATAGTGAGATTTGTTACAGATTTTAAGAAAAATAACAAGGTGGAAGAGAGAGAGGAGAGAGAGGGATGTGATTGTTTGTTATTTAGGAGATTTTGTCAGTGACAAGACCCATTGTATTAAATAAACAATTGCAGGCAAGACTCCGTGAAGGCCAAGTAGCCGTGCACGTGCCAACTGGGCGCGTTAATTAAAGCTGTGACTTTTTATTATTTTTTTATTTTTTAATTCAGCTTTTGTTTTTTTTTTCCTCTCTATTTATTTTCACATCATTTTCTCTTTTCTAATCACACTTACAAAACTCCTCAAACACCACATCAAAATCCTAACTATTGAGGATGCCCTAACTATATTTAATCATTTACGATTTTTAAAATTCTTCCTTTAATAATTATTATTCCTATTATAATTATTACTAAATTACTAAATTATCAATCATACTTTTATATTATATATGAATCTTACAATTATAATTTAAAAAAAAAAAAAATAGAGGAGAAAGCCTAACCCACAAAAGTTTTATTCGTCTACTTTAAAGAGAGGATGCTCTCCTGCCTTTTGTGTCAGCATACGTTTTTATAAGACATTTTAAGAGATTAAAAATTGAATTTTTAATTGTTATAACTTATTGGCTGTCAACATTATGATTCTTCTCATTAATTGGTATGATATAAATAATAATAGTCCTTTTTATTAGCGATTTGGAAAAATATATGTTCAATATTATTATATTAATACTCAATGTTATAATTTTAGTTATATTGAAATAATTTTTAAATAATAGTATGTAAGTTTTTTAAAAAGTTCATAGTTGTAGAATTCATATTATATTAAAGAGTAAATATCCAAAATAGTCCCTCGACTATAGCTAAATTCACAAATTGGTCATCGACTTTCAATTTCAACCAATTAAGTCCTTAACTTTGTAATTTTAACACAATTTGGTCCTCTATCTATTTGACCGTTTGTTTACTGTGATTTTTGAGGATATATATGTAATTTCATGGTCCATCGTCGGTTTTTTAAGGTTCCGGTTGCATTTTCAGACCGCACTGTTACATTCGAATCCACTGCCGAAAGCAATCTACCAAATCCGGTCGTCTTTCTTCATCCTCCCTTTGGATTCAATGTAGTTGAGTTCGTACCAGAGCGAAGAAGACGACGTGTTTCCGAACCGGTGCAACGTCATCCTGGAGGCCTCCACGTTCTCCGACGAGAGCTTAAGGTTCTTCTGGAGATCGTCGAACACGGTCAACAAACGGTCAAATAGATGGAGGACCAAATCGTGTCAAAATTGCAAACTTAAGGACTTAATTGGTTGAAATTGAAAGTCGATGACCAATTTGTGAATTTAGCTATAGTCGAGGGACCATTTTGGGTATTTTCTCTATATTAAAGGTATAGTTGCATTGATAATTTTGGAAATAATTATGGTAAGATTAATAATTGTTCAAGTAAGAATTTTAGGTATGGTAAATGATTAAATATGATTATTGTAACATTTAATACATACTAAAGAAAGTTTAATGGTGTAAAATAATTTTATTGGATAAAAATAATAGTAAAATATTTGTAGTGTACTGTAATGTACTACTCAATAAGCGTAAAAAATATAGGCATAAATCATGGATAATAACATTGGTTCAATCTTATAAATTTTTTAATATAGATTTTAGATATATATTATTGAATAAATGAATAATAATAATAATAATAATAATAATAATATAAACCATTTTTATAATTTTGATAGCTTTATTTTAAGAAACAACTAATTAATCCTTACTAATTAAAATGTAAATGAAATTAAATTTTTTTGAATGCTACTGGTTCTATTACAATGTAGTATCTGGTCATAACACCTCCACTAAGGCTCAAACTCACAACCTTCCAAATGAAAGTCCAACCCGAGTACCATTAGACCACATAGTCTTGGTAAATGAAACTAAATTTATTTATTATATTACTCTAATATATAATGTCTACCTATATTATTACCGTTGAATAATATAATAAAAGATTTGATGGATGCATGTGCATGATAATTAAAAAAAAAAAAAAAGATAACATAAGTTATTACAGTATGGATAATTTTTGTCGAAAAAATTGTATAGTACAACTTTTATAGCATATTACATGAAAAAAGTAACAGAAAATGGACATAAATGAAGGGTTACTAACCTTCATTCACTCTTATTAGTATTTTTTTTTTAAATTAACTTAGGTGATCCCAGCTAGGGGTGAGCATCAGTCGGTTTTCGGTTAATAACCGAAATAACTGAAGAACTTCTCATAACCGAACCGACCGATAACCGAAATTCTCTATCGATTAGGTTATTGGTCATCGGTTTCTCGATCGGTCTTCATTTTTTGCTCACCCCTAATCCCAGCTTCGCTAAACTACTAAGCTCACATAACCTTGCCCTTAGAGTCACTACATAGATAAATCGCAAGGTAGACTCTGATCCATGGTATAATTTACCAAAAAAGAAGGGTCAACCTTCTTTATTAAAGGAGCATGAAGCTTCTATTAATGAATCAAAAAGAAAATAAATTTAAAGAACTAAGGGCGTTTTTGGCTTTTGCCCAAAACGCCAATCTGAAACATTACAAATTGCAGCGTTTAAGATTTTGGTGGTTTGGAGCAAATCCGCTACTCCATATCGTCATTTATCACACAAAATTCAGCGTTTTAACATGGTCAAAACGCTGAAAATGACGAATTCGTCAAAATTTTGACGAATTTGTCAATTGCCAAACAAGCCCATTGTGATATCTCATTTGTTAAACGATCCGTGAATGGAGTTGTCCATTTGTTAGTTCAAAAATCCTTTTCTTACCCCAAAAACCTGAATCCCCAACCCTAAGGGCCCCCCATACTCTGACCCGACAGAGCATGTGGGAGAATGTAAATCACGGTGACCCTCCGTCATTTATCTATATTGTGTAAGTCTAGTTTTAATTACTCAAAAAGATATATATCATTTTGGAGATGTAGGATTTTTTTTTTAATTTTATTTTTATTTTTTTAATATGTAGAAGGCTTTGAGCAGTACATTTAGCCAAATTTGTGGGCATGCTGCCCAGCCGGTTTTATGCCAAACATGGTAAAAAGTGAAACTAATACTTTGCAAAAGATCTCGTGGTTGGTTAACTACGTACTTAAACTTTATCAAAAAAATGAGATAAAGTTTAAGTGGTTAACCAACCACTTAAACTTTATCTTATTGATGACATTGACAGCTTCCTTTCCTGGTGTAAACGAGTCAAGTCGAACCTTTCCTATTAAGGGTGTAAACGAGTCAAGTCGAACCGAGCTCGAACCTAAGTTGGCTCGAGCTTGAGCTCATTAAGGAAGGCTTGGCTTGAGCTCGATCGAGCTCAACAATTTATGCTTGAGTTCGAGCTCATTAAGGAAGGCTCGATCTCGAGCTCAATTTTGACCTCAAATTTGAGGGAGTAAAATAATAATAATAATAATAATAATAATAATAATAATAATAATATCATTATTATTATTATTATTATTATTATTATTATTATTATTATTATTATTATTATTATTATTATTATTATTATTATTATTATTATTATTATTATTATTATTAAGCTCGTCGAGCCACGAGCATAGAATATGTGAGCTTGGTTCGAACACGATAAATAAACGAGCTGTTCGAGTTCGGCTAACGACCGCTCAATTTTGACCGAACTCGAACCAAGCTTTGACCGAGCCGCTCACGAGTAGCTAACGAGCGGCTCGACTCATTTACACCTCTAATTCTCATCTCTTTTTTTTTTTTTTTTTTTTTTTTTTTTTTTTTTTTTTTTTTTGAGGGGTGGGGAGAGAATCTTCCGTATCAAAAGAGACAAGATAAAATGATACTTTTGTCTCATAAATTAATTAATTATAGTATTTTTTTTTAATCATTCATGTATCCATATTAGGGAAATCTCAAATTCTCAATGGATCTAAATATTTATTTATTTTATTTTTGCAGGCCAATTAAGAGAGATGAGAGAGGTATTCAAAAAAAGGGAGATGAGAGAGAAAACAAGAGTAAAAAAATTAATGATTTATGCGCTCAATTGGTACGCGAAACGTGCACCAGCATAAATTTAACAAATTGTGGAACTCACAAAAAATATTACTTCCCACAAAATTGTTTTTTTCTCTTCGTGTAAAAAATTGTGGGACTCACAAAAAATTTTACTTCATGAATTAAAAGATCACAACAGAACAAAGTGAGACTGATTCACTTCTTGTGGTGCAGGGTATGAAACTCTAAGGGAGTGTTTGGTTGGATGGAAAACATTTTTCATGGAAAATGTTTTCCTAAAAGTGAAGGAAAATGATGTTTTATGTTGTTTGGTTGGATGGAAAACTTTTTCCATTGGAAAAAGTTTTCTTTAAAGAACAAGGAAAACAAATTCCTAGCTTATGCTAGGTATTTTGTTTTCCATGGAAAACTAATATGACAATTTTATCCTCACCATTCTTTATTAATTACTCTTATTATTATATTATTATTATTATTATTGTGTAGGGTTATATTTGTCATTATACTCATTATTCCTTACCCTTCCAAACTCAACCAAACAATGGAATTCATATTCCCAGTAATTTCTTTTCCACCAACCAAACAATGGAATCTATTTTCTTGGAATTTATTTTCCATGGAATTTCAATTCCATTTCCCTTCAAATATTTTCCAGCGAACCAAACGAGCTGTAATAGAAGTGTTTCCTCTTTTGACTTACTTTTTCTTCATATAAAAGATATTTTGTGTCAATTTTGATATTGTGATATCTCTTTTGTTAAATGACCAGCAGCGATCGAGGTTACCCATTTGTTAACACGGAAATTTCTTTCTTTGTCAGGTGGTGTGCATTGGTCTTCTAAATCTCTATCTTTTATTTGTAATGCGTTACTCTCGGAAAAATAGTCAAATTGTCCTACTAAGTCGAACGGATAGTGCAATTGAATCCCTTAAGTAAAAAAAAGCTTCAATCAAACCCCATAAACTGGCTAATTAAATTGTTCAATTGAATCCTAAATTAACTTATTTAACAGGTTAATACTTCTCCGACTGAGACACGTCTATTTTTTTTTTTTTTTGAATGCTACTGATTCTATGTAGTATCTGTTCATAGCTACTTTCTCAACATACTGAAGTACAAAGAGCCAATAACACCTCCGCTACTTTCTCAACCTACTGAAGCACAAAGAGTCAATAACGCCTCCACTGAGGCTCAAACTCACAACCTCCCATATGGGAGTCCAACCCGAGTGCCCATGCACCCAAGAGTTTCACAGTCTCTGACGCCATGGCTGATGAGAATGAAGCAAACCAAGAAGACAATGGCCAGGGGCGGAGGGACATTGTAATTATAGGGGGCCTTGGCCCCCCCTTCCAAAAAAAAAAAAAAATTATTGATACTAATAGCCTAATAGGGGGAATATTTAGATGAACATAGTAACTGTGAGACTTGGGCCCTTGGCCCCCCGCACCCCCAAAATAAGAAAAAATTGTTAACAGTATATTTTTAGCCCCCCTCACCAAAGTACAAATCTATATGCCGTGGAATCGTGTCCACCTTGCAAGGTGGACAAAATTTTATGTTCATAATTACTAAACTATATGTTCTTAATTATAATGTTATATATTCATAATTTTTGAACTCCATATTCATAATTATTGAACTCTATATTCACAATTACATAACTTTATGTTCATAATTACTGAATTATATGTTAATAATTATAAAGTTATATATTCATAATTTTTGAACTTCATATTCACAATTATTGAATTTCTATATTCATAATTATAGAATTATATGTTCATAATTATGTTCACAACTCTATGTTCATAATTATAAAACTATATGTTCATAATTATAGAACTATATATTCATAATTATGAACAGTTTTGAAATCGTGTCCACCTTGCAAGGTGGATACGGTTCCACAGCATAATTTGCAACAAATGTATATGTACTGCAAAACAAAAATTTTCAGACTAAACTTTTAAAATCTTTAGCAACTGGCCTTTGCCAAAAATATGATTTCTTCTTTTTGAACATACACAATCACATATTGTCTAACAATACCCAGAAGCCTCCATTTTGTTGTTTGGTGAATGATAATTCGTTGTGGACTGACGGCTCACGGCTCTTGATCATTGGTCACAACAAGTGAGATTGTTTTTATCTCTTTGATATAATAGCATTTGAACTAATATGCTTTGCCAAACTTTACAACTTCAATCTCAAGAAATATTAAATGCAACCAGGGGCGAGGGGAAATATTGTTTGTTAGTATACATTGAAAAATAAATTGCAAAACAATTTAGTATAGATTCATTTATAAATGATTTTCGTGACATGCAAGAATGACGTTCTAAATTTTAGTAGATTTGTAATATAATGATGTAGTTTGGAATATATTAAATAAATATTAATATATTTTATTATTCTCTCTTAAATTGTGATTGGCCCCCCGCACCAACAAATCCTGGCTCCGCCCCTGACAATGGCTAAAACTTTTCTGCGCTTCAATTGGATGAGGAGTCTTGAAGGTGTATATATTGTGGCCACATGCCCTTTCATGTCCAAATTCGTCCTTAACTTCCACGGCTTGGACAGGGAGAAAGATTTAGATTAAATCTTCAATCAAATTACAAGGTTACAACTTCGACTCCAACAAAAATATATAGTTTATTGGTGATTTTGTTTTGAACTGATCAATAATGGACAACTGAACTAATTTATCTCATAATGATCATTTGCTGATTAGAGTCATATAACTGGGTTAGTGCACACCTTCAAATAGTGGATATGAGTTTTTCTCTGTAAAAAAAAAAAAAAAAAAAAATCAATGTCGATGGATCAGTCACCCCATCTTCCTTTGCAGCCGGGTGTGGGGGTCATGTCATGAGAGATAGCTTGGGGGAATGGAAATATGGCTTTGTAGCAACCATCGGCACATGTACTCCATTAGAAGCAGAAGCCTGGGCTTTGCTCAAAGGAATCCAACTCTCCATAGAGTTGGGTTTCACTCGGGTTCACTTTGAAAGCGATTCGAAGGAAGCAGTCGACTTTGTTAACAGCAACATCCCTCCTCGCATCGCAGCACACAATATCATGACTGTTTGCAAAAAAGAGCTAAGAAGGTTTGAAAGCTGGCAGGTCACGCATATCACCACGGAACAGAACAATGTAGCTGATACACTGGCAAAATTCTCTCATCACTTCAGTCCTGGTCTGCATAGACTCCCTGAGCCTCCTGACATCATTAGAGGCCCCTTAGAGGATGATCTAGATGAATTTCCCTTGTAGCGAAATACTAGTATGCTTATGTAAACCGTACTTTGGGTCTCCCCCTTCCTCTTAGAAATAAAAAAAAAAAAAAAATCTCTATCAAGACCATGTTGCTAGCAAATTGGTTTTCACAAGAGATCAAATCACAAAGTTTGAGTCCAATAAGGTCTCTAATATTATTGGACCTCTAATACTTTGATTTACCATATCATTATCTCAAGATGGGTAAATTATTTTGTGCATCCGTATGCACCATGCATGATGCATATGGATGCAAAAATGACGTCGCTTTACGTCAAAACGTGCGTCCTACATAAAAAAAAATCAGTTTGGATTCCCAAGAATAACATTATGTTATTCATTTTTTAGTTCATTCATTCTGGATTTTTAGTTATGAAATTCTGGATGTATAGTTATGCAATTCTGGATGTATAGTTATGCAATTTTGGATGTGTAGTTATGAAGTATGAAGTTATGAATGTGTAGTTATGCAATTCTGGATTTATAGTTATGAAGTTATGGATGTGTAGTTATGCAATTCTGGATGTATAGTTATGGATGTGTAGTTATATAATTCTGAATTTATAGTTATGAAATTATAGATGTGATGAAATTATGGATGTGTAGTTATACAATTTTGAATTTATTTATTTTTTAAATTAAAAGTCAAAATGACGTCGTTTCTAACGTTCCCTCAAGATGATTACTATGTGGATGAAATTAAGTCTTTAAAATTAGGGGTGTGCAAACTTCGGATAATTTTCGGTTAACCGACCGAACCGACAAAGTTCGGTTAACCGTTTTCGAACCGAACTTTTTCGGTTCGGTTAATGGTTAAAAGAATTTTAAAACTTCGGTTAACGGTTAATTCGGTTCGAAAGGTCGGTTAACCGAATTAACCGAACGGTTAACCGAAGTTTTTAATATATATATATAAATAATAATATAAATATAAATACTAATTTGAAGTTATGGATGTTTGGAGTTTCTAATTAATGTTTTTGTATATTTTGTTATGAATTTATTATGATATGTATTTTATTTTAATTAGATTTATTATTTTAGGTGTTATTTTTTGAATTTTAAATTTTAGCTTTAAAAAGTTCGGTTAATCGGTTAACCGACCGATTAACCGAAAAAATTTCGGTTCGGTGAATTCGGTAGAGCAAACTTCGGTCCAGTTAACGGTTAAAGAAAAAAAAAACTTCGGTTAATTCGGTTCGGTTAATCGAACGGTTAACCGATTGAACACCCCTATTTAAAATGATGCTTGAATGTGAAACGACCATGAAAGGTGGAAAATCAATTTACGTGATTTTAAATTGGGACCTTGTAATATGAAGCCAATCCAAGCTTCATGAGCATTATCAGTCAGAATACAAAATATCATATGAGTAGAAATAGTAAAGATGATTGAATACACCCCTTAAGTCCCTTCCTCAAAGTGAATGCCTTAGCTAATTGATTTGGAGGGGTGGGGTTCTGGTGTTATAATATCTGCAAACAAAATTCAATATGATGAAGGTGACCAGACCTAGGTAGGGTCGACACGATTTTTTTTTTTCTAAATGCTACTGATTCTATTACAATGTAATAGTTTCTACTGATACTCGAGCTCACAATCTCCTATATGGGAGTTTAACCCGATTGCTATTAGACCACAAGGTCTTGGAAGGGTCCACACGGTTTAAGCATTTTGAAATGTAAAATAATTGCTTCCTCAGTCAATTAAACCAGGTGGACCCTGGCCGGCCAAGTAATACTGTGCAGCTTGCCCATCATCAATAATCTCAATACGCAGATCTAGATCTAGATCTAGAAAAAGAAAAAGTGAGAGCTGAGCTTCAATTCATTCTTCAATTACTTTCCCTTCATCTCAATTCTCAATTCTCAATGGCCACCAAAACAAGTGTTCGTCAGGGTGCTTCTGCTGCAATGCCTCAACAAGTGTTCATGGTGGGTAACAGCAATGCATTGACAGAAATTGTGGACAAGCTTACCAACCTGGAAATTAAAAAAAGAGAAGTCATCTCCATAACAGGAATGGGAGGTATTGGGAAGACAACTTTGGCAAAAAAAGTATATGAACATAAAGGCATCAAGCGTCATTTTGACATTCAAGCATGGATTACTGTGTCTCAATCTTATTCCTTGGATGATTTGCTCCAAATGCTCCTCCAATCAATTGAAGCTTCTTCTCCGACAGAAGGACAATCATCTGTAGGAACCTTCGAACTCAAGGAAAAAGTCTATCAGTTGTTTCTGGGGAAGAGGTATCTAATTGCAATAGATGACATATGGAGTACACAAGTTTGGGATGATTTGCAGATATGCTTCCCAGAAAAGATGAATGGGAGTCGAGTATTGTTAACAACTCGACTCACATATGTGGCTACTCATGCTAGTTCTGGTGGTCTCCCATTTAGCATGCCCACCCTAAGCGAAGAAGAAAGTTGGGATCTTTTTTGCAAACAAGTATTTGCAAAACAAGAATCTTGTCCTCCTTCTAATGAGCTTGAGAAAATTAGGAGAGATATTGTGATGAAATGCAAAGGACTACCACTCTCAATTATGGTGATTGCTGGGATTCTATCCAAAGCTGGAATGAAGGTGGAAGATTGGGAAAATGTTGCCAGAGATGTAGCATTATCATCAACTTTATATGAGGAGCAAAATTGTGAGGAAATACTTTTATTGAGTTACAACCACTTGCCTCAAAATTTGAAGATTTGCTTCTTATATTTAGGAGTATTTCCAGAAGATTATGAGATTCCAGTTGAAAGATTAGTTGGACACTGGGTCGCTTTGGAATTTGTAGAAGATGAGGCTTTGGTGGCAAACAAAAAAGAAGAAATGGCATGGCAAAAGTTGCAAGATCTTATTGATCGAAATTTAATTTTGGTGGAAAAAAGGGGATGGAGTGGAAGAATAAAGACGTGTAAGATGCATGATCTTACGCGTGAGATGTGCTTGAGACTAGCTAAAGGCAAAAATATATTGCATGTCATTGATGACAAGTTTGAAGATAGACAATTCTCCAAAGAAATAAGTCAAGAAAATGGCAATTTTTGGGTAAGCCTACAATCAATTTCTATTATTAGTCGTTTAGGTTCTGAGCACAGGACACTCCAGAAATGCCATTCCTTTCTTGCTATGATTACATCTGAGTATAGATTCAAAACCCAAAGAAGAAGTTCCATCCTTACCAATGACTTGTTCACATCAACATCAATTCAAGTACTTGACCTACTTAAACTTTATTTTCCCTATTTCCCTTCATCTCTTGGGATAAATAACTTGAGTAAGTTGAGCTATCTAGCTTTGTACATTGGTGCATTTACTCGTTCCTTGTCGATCTTAAGCAGCTTGAAAAATCTACAAACGTTGATTCTGCTTAGTGAAAAATCTTTTGTAGTATACTACTCAACCCTTCCAAACACACCACAATTAAGGCAGCTTCGCATTTTGAATAGCTCTTCATTTCATTTTAAAGATGAAGAAGAAGAAGAAGAAGAGAATTTGATATTGGAGAATCTGACAACTCTATTGTGGTTAAGTGACTTTTGTTGCAATAATGAAGCGTTGATGGTGAGGATTCCGAATGTAAAGAAATTGGGGGTAAGATATGAATTTGAGAGACGCAAGGACAGTAGGCATCCCATTGACTTGCTCCATACTTTAAGTCATTTGGAACAGCTCGAAAACATCAAGTTTGATGGATATCCATGGTTAAAGGGAGTTGGGCTAGTTTATATTCCAAAACCATATGACTTTCCACCGAGGCTCAAGAAGTTGAAATTTTCTGAGACTTGGATGAAATTGGAGATGATGACCATCCTTGGAAGGCTACCTAACCTCGAAATTCTCCAACTAGAAAGGGATGCCTTTGATGATTCAGAGACCGAGTGGGAACAAGTTGAAGAGGGATTTCCAAAATTGAAAGTGTTAGTCTTCAAAGATCAAATGCTTCGTAGTTGGAAGGACAACGATTTCACTTTCCCAAGCCTTGAGTTCCTGGTGCTAAAGAATTCCTCCGATCACTTGGAATCACTACCTTATGAGTGCCTTTCTGGATGTCCATGCCTTAAGCTAATTCATTTGGAAGGGTGTTGTAGTGATGGTGTTTTAGAGTCTGCAAAGAAAATTCAAAATGATGGAGATGGCCAGCTCGAGGTCCGCGAAGAAGATATTTTTCCTCTATGGGAAGACAGGGATTTCACTTTCCCAAGCTATGAGTGGAAACACTCACAGTTGAGAAGGCACAGAAGCTGGTCCAAAAGGAATCGATGGGAAGACAGGGATTTCACTTTCCCAAGCTTTGAGCCTTTCCCAAGCTTTGAGTGGAAACACTCACCGTTGGACAGTTGGGAAGGCACAGAAGCTGGTCCAAGCTTTGAGTGGAAACACTCACAGTTGGACAGTTGGGAAGGCAGAGAAGCTGGTCCAAAAGGAATCGATGGGAAGACAGGGGGCACAGAAGCTGGTCCAAAAGGAATCGATGGGAAGATAGGGGGCACAGAAGCTGGTCCAAAAGGTATCATCACTTCTGGGACTTGAACCCAGGTTATCCCGAAATTTTCCCTCACAAAGAGAGCTCATTTGCCACTTGAGCTACCTTGTTGGGTTAACATTATCTTCTATACTCCTTATACATTCGGATTGTTAATTAAGGGGGTGTATTCAATCATGACTTTCATAGAGTTTTAAAGACTTTTATGAACTTTAAAAGCTTGGATGTATTCAATTCAAACTTTTAGAGTCTTTAGAAGTCAGGCAGTATTCAATCAAGATTTTTAAAGAGTCTTTAAAAGTCGTGTGGTATTCGATTAAGACTTTTAAAGAGTCTTTAAAAGTCATGTGGTATTCAAAAAGTTATGAACTTTTGTAGACTTTTTAATTTTAGGACTTTTGTAGACTTTTCCTTCTCAAATATAAATAGTTGAAATCCACCATCAACCCCAAGATTTCAAAATTTTCTTTCTAACAACTTTGAATGTTTTTTCTCTATTTAAACTCTATTTTTTCTCCCTATTTAAACTTTATAAAACTATCTAAATTTAATAAAAAAAAAAATTCTTCATTATCCTATATTTTCCTCATACCTAACCTCTACCAATTTCTCTCTCTCCTAAACTTTACAATCTTCCTCTAAAAATTCAAAATAATATTATTTTTACTTCATTATTGCTTGTTTAGATTGATTTTTTTATTTTTTCTATGAATTTTTTATCGCTAACTTTCTCTAGTTCTCCCTAAATACATGAAAAAAAAAATTTTTCATAGTCAAATTTCAATATATGTTTTCATAATATTCATATAAATACTTATATATTTTGATTTTTATTCAGTACATGTCCAATTCGTAATATATATTTTTCCCTTTTTTTTTTTTTTAACCACAGGTTACTACGAAGAGCGACCTACTATTCACAATAACAATTTGGGGTTGCAAAAAGTAGCACCTTGTTGTTCGCAGTCTCAAATTGCTATTGCAAATAATAATTTTTTGCGTGATGCCTAAGAATATATCAAGTATAATTTTAGGATTAATATTTGATGCACCGCCGGTGTATAGATGCTATACACCGGCGGTGAATGAAGAGATGACACATCATTAAAGGATAAAATCAATGTTAATCGGGTCTTTTTTTGCAAAATATCTAAGACTTGTATTCTTTTAGAAAATTCTTTTATTTCTAATTAACAAAATATATCTACTTTCCTAAACATATTTATTACTTAATTATTATATATTTAATTATCTAATTATTAATAATGATAACAATTCTAAAACCTGTAAAACAATTCGCATTCAGTAATCTATTACTACGTATCACTTATAATAATAATAAATTTCTAAATCTGTTATCATTTCTGTACAAGAATTCGACATACATTCAGTATCTAATTATTTCTTCATCTTTTTTTAAGAAATTATTTCTAAATTATTATATTTATAACTAAGAATTCTTTAATTTTAATTAACAAAAATCATCTAATTTCCCATATGTATCTTAACTCCTAAATCTATTTAAACCTCTAAACTCCTAAATTTAAATTACAACCTTAGTCACTATTAGAAACAATTGCCACATCTTGTAAGAATATATTGTAACAATTGCCACACCTTAAAAACAATTGTCACTATTAAATTTAAATTACAACCTTAGTCACTATATTCTTACAAGATGTTGCAATTGTTTCTAATAATGACTAAGGTTGTAATTTAAATTTAGGAGTTTAGGGGTTTAAATAGATTTAGGAGTTAAGATACATATAGGAAATTATTAGATGATTTTTGTTAATTAAAATTAAAGAATTCTTAGTTATAAATATAATAATTTAGAAATAATTTCTTTAAAAAAAGAAGAAGAAACAATTAGATACTGAATGTATGTCGAATTCTTTTACAGGAATGATAACAGATTTAGAAATATATATTTTTAATATTAGATTTTTATAAGTTTTTTGTATAGACTTTTATAGAGTCTTACAAAGTTTTAAAAAGTTTTGAATGACTTTATGAAAGTCAATCAAAGTTTATTAAAATCTATAATTTTAAAAGTCTTTAAAACTCTACAAAAGTCATTATTGAATACACCCCCTTAATCTAACACTATTTCTTATTTCAACTACTTTAATTGGCAAGACAGATTGAAGAGAATGGAAACAACAAGAATAGCATCACATGTTCTTCTGATCTATCACTTTGAAGGTAACTTTAATTTGATGAGTCCATGCCAGCATCATATCAAACCGAAGCAATCACCCATACATATATACCTCTTAGCTCCCCTGCCACCTACTCTCCCAAAACAAATCCTAAGCTCTCTCAATTTTGATGTGATTTAAGGTTAGAAATTTACATGTTTGTTTCGGTTTTGCATTGCACCTTATTTTTCCTTAGCAAAATTGTGGTTTCATTTTGAGCTGAAAAATTGTTCCCTTCAAACCTGGGAGTGCTTCCCAAAGAATCATTGGTCACACTATCCGATTTGATCTTGTGACCATTCATTTGGAATGATAACAACAATATCATCACACTACATAGGAAATTTGAAGATACATGGTTGAACTCACAAGATGAGCAACAGAATATCAGACTACATACATCTCAATTCTCAAGCAATCAATTAAGATTGGGGTTTGATATGGGTGAAGAACGCCTTTGAAAACTCCGCTAGTTTCTCAGTTGAAGGCATCACATCCTTCACCGCATCATCACCGCAGAAATCTTCTGCCCAATTCGCCAAACCAGGAACCTTAGCTTCGTCCAGAAACTTAATGCTGTTAAATGTCTCGATGACCCTTATCCAGGCCACAAAGCATCCCAGTGCGATGTCCAAGAACCCTATTCTCTCTCCGCCAAAGAATTTCTTCCCTTTGCTGCAACTTTGGAAGGCACCCTCCAATACCCCCAACCCTTCTTCCACCTCACCTATGGCTGCCTTTCTGGCTTCCTCATCCTCAGCAGTTGCTACGGTTTGCAGCTTTGGGAACCACTGTAGCACAAAAAAGAACAATTATATTGGGCAGAGGCCAGTAAGGGGCAAATTATGCCGTGCATCATGGTGCATATGGATGCAAAAACGACTTCGTTTTATTAAAAACGCGCGTCTCCTCTTAAAAAAAAAAAATTCAGGTTCGATTCCCAGCAACAACATATGAACTAAAATTCCAGAATCGATGAACTATAATTCCAGAATCTATGAACAAAAATTCCAGAATCTAATCTATGAACTAAAAATTTCAGAATGAATGAACTAAAATTCCAGAATCTATGAACTAAAATTCCAGAATTGATGAACTACAATTCCAGAATCGATGAACTATAATTCCAGAATCAATGAACTAAAATTCCATTATCTATGAACTAAAATTCCAGAATGAATGAACAACATAATGTTGTTGTTGGGAATCGAACCTGAATTTTTTATTTTTTTAAAGGGGAGACGCGCGTTTTTAATAAAACGACGTCGTTTTTGCATCCGTATGCACCATGCACCATGCATAGTGCATACGGATGCACAGCATAACTACTCCTAGTAAGGGCCAAGTGGCTACGAAGATTATTAGGCGGAGATTGGTAAAGGGTCAAGTCCAATAAGTATCAGCAGGCGATCGGAAGTAACAATTAAACCATAAAAATACCGAGAAAGGGAAATTAGCAGGTAAAGAGGATACCGTATGATCAATATAAGTGGCCCAGAAGCGGTGGATGGCCCGGTCATAAGGATGGGCAGGCATGATTGCCGGACCGGAATTCCAGACCTCATCAATATACTGGAGGATTATGAGGGACTCGCAAACGGGGTTCTGGTTGTGAATGATAACAGGGACTTTCTTGTAAACTGGATTAGATTTGAGTAGAAGGTCGCTCTTGGCTGCAAAATTCTCCTCCAGGAACTCGTAAGCTATAGACTTGATGTTGAAGGCGATGCGCGCGCGGAGCACAACAGGGCTCGCCCATGCACCCAAGAGTTTCACACTCTCTGACGCCATGGCTGATCAGAATGAAGCAAACCAAGGGCTAAAAATTTTCCGCGCTTCAATTGAGTCTTGAAGGTGTATATATTGTGGAGTTCAAACACAAATGGGTTTTTAGTAAACGGTCGTTAGCTAATTGGATTAGTGAGTTTAAATAGTTTTAGGGTATGTTTGTTTGACGGGTTTTGCTCACAGAAATGGGTATGAAAGTGATTGTTATTTTTTGGTGGATAGGTTTTTAGAATACAACTATGGGTTTCGAATACCTCATTATTTGAAAAGTTCATACCCAAATAAAATAAGGGTTTCATTCCCTTATTCATCCTCAAGCACTACTATTAGTAACCATTTTCATTCCACCTTACTACCAAACATGCTAAATACTTTCACCAAAACTCATTACTATTACCAAGTATTTGATACTCATTCCGATTCCGATTCCTATATGCGAACCAAACACACCCGTAGTTAATTGTAGAAAAGTATTTCGTAAATTAACTGTTAGTTGATTACATATAAAATGATTTTCTCAAAAAGAAAGTTACTTAGAGTAATTTTTAAAATTTTTGAATAATAAATTATTACAAAAAGCTAATTAATCAGAAATTCATATTAATTATTTAACCAAGTCAAACTGATAATAATAATTAAATAAGTTAAAATTAACTGATAAGTTAACTATTTGACCTAACATGGCCAAAAAAAAAAAAAATGTGAACGTAAATTAGAGGTGGCCACATGCCCTTTCATGTCCAAATCCATCCTTATCTTCCACGGCTTGGATAGGGAGAAAGATTTAAATTAAATCGTGAGCCTCTCAATCAAATTACATAATTACAAGTTTGACTTCGAGAAAAATAATTTATTGACTTTTTTGGTTTAAACTGATCAACCACAATTAAGTTGATTTTTATTATTTTATAATAGTTATTTGTTGCTAGAGTCATACAGTAGTGTTAGTATACACCCTCAAATAGTGGACGTGAGTTTCTCTTGTAATACAAAAACAAAACATTTCAATCAAGATCATGATGTTGCTAGAATTTGCTTGTCCAATAAGGTTTCTAATATTATTGGACCTCTAATACTTTGATTTACCATATCATTATCTCTAGCGGTACAAATTATTTGTTTGGTCATGTGTGTGAATATTCAAGGTCAAAGAATGCATGCATGGTCCTAGTTTTTCTCTGATCTCAAGATAAGTACGTGGATGAAATTAAGTCTTTAAAATGATGCTTGAATGTGAAACGACCATACAAGGTGGAAAATCCATTTACGTGATTTGAGTTAATACCTTCAATGGTCCTCCGAGTATTAGGATCCTACTAAATGTGGTCCTTTGAATTTAAAACGATCACGAGACGTTCTCCAACTTTAAAAAATAATTACCCGTAGTCTTCCGTTAGGTTTGGTGCCAAATGGACGTTAAGTGTGAAAACAAACCTATCATTTCTACTAGTATAAAAAAGAATTACCAGGTGTGGTCCCCCGATTTTAAAACGACCACTAGACGTCCTACTAGTTTAAAAAAACTTTTTTACCACCAACACCAACAACACTACCACCACCACAACCAACAACACCAACATTACAAAGCCACCACCACTACCACCACCATGACTACCACACGTCCACACCACCACCGCCACCATCACCACATTATTATTATTATTATTATTATTATTATTATTATTATTATTATTATTACTATTATTATTATTATTATTATTATTATTATTATTATTATTATATGTTCACTAGTATTTTTGCCCATGCTATGCACGGAATGAATTTGTTGAAATATATTAAGAATATTTGGATCGATATATAATTATTTAAATTAGAACATCAAATGTTCTCTGTATTATATAATGCAATTGAATATGTGATTTGAATCATTTGTGTGTTTTGATATTATCATTGCTTGTATTTGAGCAAATAATTGTTCACCTAATAGCTAATGTGTAGATGCATGCATGCGGTGTTGTAACTTTGGAGATTTTATTTATCATTGTTTAGTATTTTTTTTTTTTATAAATTAGGCAAATGTGCTCGTTCTCTAGCAACTCAGTTATAGGAATGAATTGGTATCTTAATTCATTTGTATGGAATATATATATATATATATATATATATATATATATATATATATATATATATATATATATATATATATATATATATATTTATTTATTTATTTATCTACATATATAACAATTTTGTCATTTAAAAAAACATAATATCAATGATTGTATTTACACATTATTGAAATCTCTTTATAGAAGACATTGGTATTAGCAACACAATCTTGTCCATCATCGTCTAGAGCTAACACCTTCCGTCCAACAGGATGGGTGACTCGGGTGAAAATATATAATGTTAGAATATTAGTCCATTAACGATCCTTTTAAATTTTAAGTCAATTATTAATATTAGATTCATTTTCAACCAATTATTTTTTTTAGTCAATTAGAATATCATATGCAGTGATATTTTTACGAAAAGTCACAACATTTATATGGCTATAATTTTCATACTAAGATTTTCTCTCCATTTGGAACATACCAAGTTCAATTAGACTTTCATGCTTTCCAAACTTCAACAACATCTGGTCATTCATTTTTTTTTTATCACATATGACCATTCATTAAAATCTTTGTCTTTCAATAAAATAGAGCATAAATAAAGACTAAAAAGAAATAATTAATTGAAAATTTTGTGGATAAAATAACATGAATTCAACTTTTAGTAAATAAAATTTTACTTTACCATCTCATATGCAATTTGTAGAATAGATTTTGCACCACTAATTGATTTGATCTCTTGATTTCTACTGGTTGTCGTCTTCTCCAGTGTAAATGATCACCGGAATTTTTTTTTGAGTAAAGTTGAAGAGTTTATTTAACTCTTATTCCTAAATTAAATGCACACAATCCCCGTACTTTCTCCAAGAAGAACTTCCATCCCCTCTATGTTTTTTTCTCTTCTTCTTCCCCTAATCTCCTTATCTCCCCTTTGGAGATGCCTTAAGTGCCTTCCTCAAAGTGAATGCCTTAGCTAATTGATTTGGAAGGGTGGGGTTCTTGTGTTTTAACAAAATTCAAGATGGTTTGGAAAAAAAAACAAAAAACAAAAAACACACACACAAAATTCAAGATGATGAAGGTGACCAGACCTAGGTAGGGTCCACACGGTTTAAACATTTTGAAATGTAAAATAATTGCTTATTAGCTTCCTCAGTCAAACCGTGTGGACCCCGGCCGGCCAAGTAATACTGTGCAGGCTTGGCCATCATCAATAATCTCAATACGCAGATATAAATCTAGAAAAAGAAAAAGTGAGAGACAGAAACTGGGAGAGCTGAGTTTCAATTCATTCTTCAATTACTTTCCCTTCATCTGGCCACCAAAACAACTTCCACAAGTGTAATAATGCCTCAACAAGTGTTCATGGTGGGTAACACCAATGCATTGGCAGAAATTAAGAACAAGCTCACCAACCTGTCAATTAAAGAAAGAGAAGTCATCTCCATCACTGGAATGGGAGGTATCGGGAAAACAACTTTAGCAAAAAAAGTATATGAAGATGAACGCATCAAGCGTCATTTTGACATTCGAGCATGGATTACTGTGTCTCAATCTTACTCCTTGGATGATTTGCTCCAAAAGCTCCTCCAATCAATTGAAGCTTATTCTCCAACAGAAGGGCAATTTGAAGGAACCTTCGAACTCAAGGATAAAGTCCGTAAGTTGTTGCTGGGCAAGAGGTATCTAATTGCAATAGATGACATATGGAATACACAAGTTTGGGATGATTTGCAGATATGCTTCCCAAAAAAGAGAAATGCCAGTCGAGTATTGTTAACAACTCGACTCACATATGTGGCTACTCATGCTAGTTCTGGTGGTCTCCCATTTAGCATGCCTACCCTAAGCGAAGAAGAAAGTTGGGATCTTTTTTGCAAACAAGTATTTGCAAAACAAGAATCTTGTCGTCTTCCTTCTAATGAATTTGAGAAAATTGGGAGAGATATTGTGATGAAATGCAAAGGATTACCACTCTCAATTATGGTGATTGCTGGGATTCTATCCAAAGCTGAAATGAAGGTGGAAGATTGGGAAAATGTTGCCAGAGATGTAGCATTATCCTCAACTTTATATGAGGAACAAAATTGTGAGGAAATACTTTTATTGAGTTATAACCACTTGCCTGAAAATTTGAAGACTTGCTTCCTATATTTAGGAGTATTTTCAGAAGATTATGAGATTCCAGTTGGAAGATTAGTTGGACATTGGGTTGCTCTGGAATTCATAGAAGATGAGGCTTTGGTGGCAAACAAGAAATTAGAAGAAGTGGCATGGCAAAAGTTGCAAGATCTTATTGATAGAAATTTAATTTTGGTGGAAAAAAGGGGATGGAGTGGAAGAATAAAGAGGTGTAAGATGCATGATCTTACGCGTGAGATGTGCTTGAGACTAGCTAAAGGCAAAAATATATTGCATATCGTTGATGACAAGTTTCAAGATGGACAGTTCTCCAAAGAAATAAGTCAAGAAAATGGAAATTTTTGGGTAAGCCTACAATCAATTTCTAATACATATCACGCGTAAGATCATGGATCTTACACGTCTTTATTCTTCTACTCCGTCCTCTTTTTTCTACCAAAATTAAATTTCTATCAATAAGATCTTGCAACTTTTGCCATGCCACTTCTTCTTTCTTGTTTGCCACCAAAGCCTCATCTTCTACAAATTCTTGAGCGACCCAATATCCAACTAATTTTTTAACTGGAATCTCATAATCTTCTGGAAATACTCCTACATATAAGAAGCAAGTCTTCAAATTTTCAGGCAAGTGGTTATAACTCAATAAAAGTATTTCCTCACAACTTTGCTCCTCATATAAAGTTGACGATAATGCTACATCTCTGGCAATATTTTCCCAATCTTCCACCTTCATTTCAGCTTTGGATAAAATCCCAGCAATCACCATAATTGAGAGTGGTAATCCTTTGCATTTCATCACAATATCTCTCCCAATTTTCTCAAATTCAATACAAGGAAGACGACAAGATTCTTTTGCAAATACTTGTTTGCAAAAAAGATCCCAACTATCTTCTTTGCTTAGGGTAGGCATGCTATATGGGAGACCACCAGAACTAGCATGAGTACCCACATATGTGAGCCGAGTTGTTAACAATACTCGACTCCCATTTCTCTTTTCCGGGAAGCAAATCTGCAAATCATCCCAAACTTGTGTACTCCATATGTCATCCATTGCAATTAGATACCTCTTCCCCAGCAACAACTTACGGACTTTATCCTTGAGTTCGGAGGTTCCTGCAGATTGTCCTTCTGTTGGAGAAGAACCCTCAATTGATTGGAGGAGCATTTGGAGCAAATGATCCAAGGAATAAGATTGAGAAACAGTAATCCATGCTTGAGTGTCAAAATGACGCTTGATGCCTTTATGTTCATATACTTTTTTTGCCAAAGTTGTCTTCCCAATACCTCCCATTCCTGTGATGGAGATGACTTCTCTTTTTTTAATTGAGGGGTTGGTGAGCTTGTCCATAATTTCTTCAAATGCATTGCTGTTACCCACCATGAACACTTGTTCAGTTTTGGTGGCCATTGAGATGAAGGGAAAGTAATTGAAGAATGAATTGAAGCTCACCTTTCCCAGTGCCTCTCACTTTTTCTTTTTCCTAGATTTGCCCATTGAGATTATCGATGATTGCCAAACTGCACAGTATTACTTTGCCGGCCGGCCGGCCGGCACAGCAATTATTTTACATTTCAAAATACTTAAACCGTGTGGACCCTAGGTCCCTAGGTTTGGTCACCTCCATCATCTTGACTTTTTGTTTGCAGAGATTGTTTTTTATTTTCTATTTTGCAGAGAATCAGAGATTGACCCTAAGACCCATTTAATAACAGAAATTGTTTTCTATTTTCTGTTTTTTAATGTTTCAATTTTCATTTATCCTCTGAGAACTTATTTATTAACACTTATGGAGTTTTTTTTTTTTTTTTTTTTTTTTGTTAAATTAACGTTATAAAATTAAATATATTTAGTTTAAATATAATCAATATAATTTTTACTTTTTAGTACAATATATGTAAGATTTTAACCTTCGATATCCGATTGAAATTTATATCTGTAATTCTGTATATAACTGAAATAACAATATATTTAAATTAATAACCTATTTAAGTTCACATAAAATTTAGTTTAAAAAATAATAATATTTGAGTTAATTACCAAAATAGTCCCTTGACTATTGTAAAATTATCAATTTGGTCTTTGATTATTTTTTTGACCAATTAAGTCCTCAACTTTAAAAATCTTAACTAATTTGGTCCTCCGTTAGTTTTGTCGTTAGACTTCCGTTAACTTGAGATCAAATTGGTAATATTTCTATAGTCAATGGACCATTTTAGTAATTAATTTTAGGTGTGGGCTTGACTATAGCAAAATTACCAATTTGGTCCCAAATTAACGGAAGTCTAACGACAAAAATAACAGATGACAAATTGGTTAAGATTTTTAAAGTTTATGACTTAATGGTAAAAAAAATAGTCGAGGACCAAATTGGTAATTTCGCTATAGTCAAGGGACCATTTTGGTAATTAACTCTTAATATTTTTTTAGCTAACATTTAAAATATTTTTTGATATATTAATTTGAATGACATTTATATAAATATATAATTTTTACTTTAAATTCTAATATAGTAATATATGTGAAATTTCAATATCCGATATCCGGACCAAATTTGTATTACGATATAACATAACTAAAAATATTCGAACCAATAATCAATTGAATTAATTTTTTCAATTTTGATAATGTGAATAATGTGTAACTTTAAGTATAAGCAAATAAGTTATATTTAAATAAATAATGCGAAAAGATAGAAGAGGGTTATAAGTAAAAGAAAATGATAATGAATTTAATCATTGTAATTAATAAATATATAAGTAGAGGGTGAGAATGTGGTTACAGTAACGAGTTAATTCCACCAGAGGTCTTTTGTCTTTGGTGACAATTCCAAATTTAGCCCATGCTATTATTTTTTGGACACTTTTAGTCTTTCTCATGATTTTTCATATTTTTAGTAAGACCATTTTTTATCTTTTCATATTTTTCTTTTGTTATTGTTTCCTAGTTTCAACCAGTTTAATTGGTCTAGGACCTTAGGTAACCTCTGATTTTTAGTAACCATATTTTTTAACTAGTTTTTAGTAAAGTCCTAAACCAATTAAACCGGTTGAAAGCGGAAAAATAACAAAAGAGAAATATGAAAAAAAAAAAAAAAACAAAAATGCCCTTACTAAAAATATGAAAAGACTTGAGAAGGACTAAAAGTGTCCACAAAATAATAGTGTAGGATGTTAATGGCAAAAACAATAGTCTGAGACTCAATTTGAAATTGTCATCAAAGACAAGGGACCTCTGGTAGAATTAACTCTTATAGTAACACTAGTTTTTTCTATGCGCGATGTGCAAAAACATATGCCCAATATTTATATTTTTTAAAATAATTAACAAATTCCTACTAATTAAAATCTATATGAAATCAAATTTATTTATTATAATAATCTAATATATAATGTCTATAAATATTATTATCACTAAAGAATATAAGAAAATATATGGTGGATGCATGTGCATGGTAACGGAAGTTATAACGGTATGGGTATTTTTGTCCAAAAAATTATATAGTACAACTCTAAAAGCACAATGTACAAAATCATTAGCATTAAAAACATGGACATAAATGATGGATATAACTTTGATTGAGACTTATTATGTTTTTAGATTAGATATTGTCAAATAGATGATAGATGATAGAAGATCATGTTTTCTAATTAGAAAACAGTTTTTAATAGTCAATACACAAGACATAAAAATTCAATACACAAGGCAGAAAAGCTCAATACACAAGACACAAAAATACAATACAAAATACAATACACAAGACACAAAAATCAACATGCAATAGCTGCCAATTTAAGTTTATACCTGTTAAATTCACTTTGCTCCTCAACTGGAGCTGGCAAAGTTGTAGGTGGTGTTGAGCTTGCTGGTTCTGAAATTGGTGGTCCTGTTGTTAGTGATGCTGGTGGTACTGGTAATGGAGCTTGTGGGTCAAGTGTTGCTGAGGTGGTAGCTTGATTAGGCGTTTCCTGAATTGGAATTCCAACACCTTGAACAATTTCTTCAACCACATTTTGGAACTAGGTTGCTGTCAACAATTCAAATGAAGGCATGACAGAACTAATGGCCTTTGATGTCTTCAAGAAAGCTGCTTCAAGTGCAGCTACAACTTCTAGGAAGTTGGGCTGGTTGAAGACATCATCATCTTGCAACAGGGTCTGAGGTGAGGTTGGTTTAGGGTTGAGTGTGACATTTATGGTACTAGATAAGTTAATGAATGTCTTTTTTTTATAAGCTCGGCAGCAGAGTTCGGGGTTCCAATCTCTGCTATTACTTCTTCAAATTTAACAATGCTTGAGGTCACTATATAACACCTCTAAAATTCTAACACATGAATAACGAAATAAAGGGATATAGGGAAAATGGTCAAATAAGCCCTCAAACTTTTTGCTAAAGAGTCAATTATCTCCTTAAACATTTTAAAGTGCAATTACACCTATAAACAAAGCATTTTGGTGCAATGAAACTCAAATACAAGTAAATGACCTGCTATTATAGGTCATTGAATATCAGACATATTTCCGACAAAAAGTGACCGGCAACTAGTCACCGGTCACGGTTCTCCGGCGATCACTTTCTGTGCACGAGAAAGCAACCCAGATTTGGGTTGCCTTCTCTGGACAAGAAGGCGATTACCGGAGAAGGCAACCAATGGTTGCTTATATATATATATATATATATATATATATATATATATGGTTTAGGGTTTAGGGTTTAGGGTTCCAATGAGAACACTTGCTTAGGTGAGAACAAATTGTGTACATCCATATAATATTTTTTAATGGTCTAGATTAGATTAATTGTGTGCGAACGCGCATTAAATGTGTACAAACACGATTAAAATAAACACTAACACTTTTGCAGCAAAACTAAAATAAAATATAAAAACAATAAACAATAAATTAAAAAAAATTAAAAAAAATGGCAATACTGCTGCGGCTACGGAACCCTCGGCGCCGCAGCAGTATATATGTAGCAGTGTCTATATATATATATAATTAAATATCAATAATAATTAATTTGTAAAAAATAAAATTCAGAAGCTTACCTTTGTTTGAAGTTTTAATTTGATGTTGATGTAGATGATAGAAAGAATAAGCTATTACTAGGAATATTAAACCTGGTAATAGACTTGGTTACCAAACAAAGGAATGGCCTATTACTGGGAATGATATGTCATTCCCAGCCTATTCCGTGAACCAAACGGGCCGTAACAGCATAATTGGGTAGAGAATGGGATCAAATCCTACTACCAGCACTTTGTTTTAATTTTATTTTTATTTTAGCTCTTCCAATCCTTCAATAAATTAAATATTTTTTCAAGTCTATTTTTTCTGTGAATGTAATCCACAAGTTTATATTATACTTCACTAGTATTTTCACCCGTGCGATGCACGGAATGAAATTGTTGTAATATATTAAGAATATTTAAATCGATAAAAAGTTAATTTCACCAGAGGTCGCTTATCTTTCTTGACAA